TCCGAGGTAAGTCTTGGTGGATCTTGCCTTCTCGTACATCGCTCATATCAGATCCATCGTCATTCCATACGGGGTGCTGCTCGCCATGGCTAATCCACCACAGGCAACTTGCACCCGTGCCAAACAACCCAAATCCTCTATAATCACCTGAAATTGTCACTGATTCGGGATAGTGACCCCGCGTCAGGACCATTCTCTTATTTCTGAGAAAGCACTTCACCACACGTGGGTGAAGTCCGGATCGAATTTCGTGGCAATAAGGTAAAGTATAGGACAACGAGACCATTTTCAATGGGTAAATTCAAACAACCCGTATATACAACTGCCACATCAACGTCGATGTTTGTGCCACGAAGAAGGTAAGTAAGTACATCAACAAGTATGTCTACAAGGACTCGAACATGACGACAATCACGATTGAGGGCGAATAGATTCGAATGAGCGAATTTCTTCACATGGCTGCGTACATTCCGGCCCCACACACGTAAGCCAGTCCATCTTCTCGAGGCATATAATGAAAGGCGAAATAGCCTAGCACGGTTGCTGTAAGCAACCCGTTAGTTAGAACGCTAACATCCGCTTGATACACGTGAAAAGCTCTTTCCATATTCGGATCGTTAACATCCGCCCAGACAATGATAATCGTGTTTTTCGAGACTCTCGTCCTGAAAAATCGATTAGGAACGCATCCGCTTCTTTTCGCCACGTTGTCTTCCTGATAGCGATTGACCCCAAAGCTAATCTTATCGCTGGCGGCCTCCCAACTTTCTGTACTGCTTTACACCACATCGCAACCTCCTCTATCACTACTGGCAGATTCGCTCTCACACCCATTACCATCGTGATTGCCGCTGCCCATGTGTGAGTGGCGATCCAACCAATGTTATTGGCTGACTTAGTCAAATAACCCCGAGCAGCCACTAAACATCTGCCGCATCTGAGCTATGTGCGACTAAGCCCGTCAACGCAGTCAATTACTCCGCGATCGTCGAATCCGTTGCTACTGGAATGTCCTAGATGAAGATTGGGGGGGGGGGCAGAGGCACTGGGATCCACGGTACCTTCACCGCTACAATTAGTCGTCGGTACGCCACCAAACAGTAGCAATGCGGCATGAATCCTGTCTTCGCGCGTCGGTATAGTTATACATGTTCTTGAATGTGCTATTAGACCGCACCAAATCTCGCCCAAAACTGCACATAGCAATATCGACGGAGCGAACGCTATCTCGCATTTTCTACAGGACCGTGCTGCAATCATCATCTGTATACGTGCACATCTGCATCCCGGTAGCCCCCAGATGCTGTGTCACCGTTCTGGTAGCCTCGCGAGTGCATGCTCGATAAGGGTCGATTATGCTGATCGCAAATAGAGCACCCAAGCACTTAGCCAACAGGCGAACTCGCCACGATTCGGTCTAGGCTGCTTTGTCTGTGTGCGTATGCCAACGTGGTTAGCTTTGCATTAAATAGCACACGCATGAGATCTTCACAGTAATATTGGAACGAATTGACTTGATACTTCGTTTGCTGGCCAGCGGTCGGGTGCAGCTCAGTTGGAGCAGTGGACTTCGCTTCCTGAAGAGCTTGTGGACTGCTCGTACTACCGTCAGGTAGCGTCGATGATCTGTGTGGAGGTCTGTGAAGCCCTTGGGGTTTTCGGCTAGCGGGAAAGCAGTGTCAGGGCTGGCGGTGATATACCGCTTCTGCTCAGCTGATCCTTCTCCAGACCAGAGCTTGCAAAGGGCCTCTCCAGCCGCGGCTGCGAAGCCAGTTATCAGCGGACGTGCTCGCGCCGGGATTGGCTTGGGTGGCATGCTCTCGTTCGAAGCTAGCAGCACGCCCGGATATTTCGCCGACAACGATCGCCGGTGTAGACGGAGGATCCGCGGTGGCAGCGCATCTTGTGTGGGTGTTCGGCAGCTTAATACTTCGTCTGTAAACAAGATTTGTATTCGCTTCCCCTTCCTGCCAAGGGTACTGCCTATTGGCTTAGAATGCAACATTTACGTGACAGATATTGTCAATTTCGCTCGAATTTGCCGGCGCGGAGAGGCTGGCCAAGTTAACCCATTCAGTAACCAAATCGGCGCGATTGGCTAAAATATATTGTGGCGCGCGTTGCTTTTCATTTTGACGTTTCTCCCCCATGGATGTTGGTGTTTCCTACTGCAACTAAGACACAGGCACTTGCTCGCTGGCACGGTGTATCATGAAAAATCTTCCGTGGTAAATGTAGTGATGTATTTGCTAACCTTATTACCTGTGTTCCAGGTTCACACGAGCCGCAGATCTCGGGACTACGAATAATCAAACTGCAACATCTAGTGCTTGGAAACCTTCTAGTCGGGTAAGTACAGCACTTTTGGCTGGTATTGCTGGATACGGACACGAGATTACATGTTTTGCTGTTGCGCCATTAGATTTGAGCTATTGTTGCTCGGTTGAAGTGCGAGAAATGGAAGAAGCTGCTACAAAACAGCATGCGCACCCAAATACAGTGTTTCACTGTTCGTATGGCTTTTAATTATCTCGGCTATTCGCGTCAGGACCTCGCGCGTGTGTACAACAAAAACGTCAAAACGATTGGTAACTGGATCAAAGTCTACCAGTCAACGGGAACATTCGAACGGGCAAAGTCGACGACCGACAAGAAGTTCACGAAAGAGCATAGACAATGGATCTGCGATTTCTATTCGGAGAAGCCGCTTGCGTACCTTGATGAGGCTCAACATGCCTTCCAACACGCCATCACGTCAGCATTTCAAAGTCTTCAGTGTGGCGGATTATGCACGACTGTGGATTGACCTACAAAGCTCTCGAGAGGCGTGCCATGCATATCAAGGAGCAAGATGTGTTTAGATTCGTTGAAGAACTGAGCAACATTGACTGGACTCACCACAACCTTGTCTTTCTTGACGAGGTCTCTTTTGACAATCGAGGGATGATAAGAAAGAGAGGGTATGCTTTAAAAGGGAAAGCGCTGGCTATTCAAGGTGATTTCCAGAGGAAACCTGGGGTGTCCATCTTAGCTTTCATCGGTGTTCACGGTGTAATTGATTACTTCAACGCCGAAGGAACTTTTGATCGTGTTGAGTTCGTCAAGTGCTGCAAAGACTTTGCGTATTCAAGCAGAGGAAACGTTCGTCAATATCCAGGCCCTAACTCTGTGTGGATTTTGGACGGTGCGACGATACACAGGCACTCGGAGATTGTCCACTTCCTTAGAAGCATTGGAGTGGTCCCAATATTTCTGCCTGCTTACTGCCCATTCTTCATCCCAATCGAGTACATGTTTGGGTACATCAAGAAGGCATTCCAGAGGTATTACAACGAGAAAAGCGAACGAGATTTACTACCGTTTGTAGTGAGAACATTTCGCCGGTTTGAAATTTGTTGTACGGCAAGCGTGTTTGAGCGCTGTAACTGGCGAATTCATGGTCACTTCGATCCCACTGGTCCAATGGCAACATAGAATCGACACATCATTGACCTTTGTGGTAATGATACGGAACCCGAGGAAATAGAAGATGAATTGGGATTTATTGAGAGACGCAGGTATTTGTAGGTTGAAGTGAGGCGAGTGCTTCGTGCCTACCGACGAATTAATCTTGATGTTCAACGTCATCAACGTTTTCAATTTTCGTAAGTGGATCAACCACGTCACTGACCGCGGCCGGGGGGATATTATAGAGAAACCCCTCAATGACTGACTTTCGCGCCAGCATGGCCTTATCTTGGGCATCTAGTCGTAGTCTCAGGGCTTCGACATCTTGACGCAGTTGCTGGCTGTCCGCTATTGATGCATTTACGCAGTCTAGCGCCATTTTGCTGATCGTGACCGGATGGATACCTGCTGTTCAGCCAGTGAATTGGCCGGCCTGAGAAGACTTGTAATATACTCTGGTGGGGGTTCCGAAATTGCATCGCTCCAGGTAGACCTATCCAGGTTTCGTGTGATGTGGGTCGCCACATTCGCCACACAGTAGTTTTTGCGCGAAAACTGGACGCCCAACGCGACTGGAGCTGCGAGACTACGTCGCGAAGGGAGCTCTCGGCCGCTGCACCAGAGCGATCAGTTGCAAGTGGTCGTACGCATGCTGCTGTAAGCGATTCAAGGTCTCTTGCCTTTGTGATGGATGTCCCGTACTCGTAAATCATGAGTTTGATTATCTTACCACGTCGTGAGGTCATCCAGAGGCTCCAGACATCCTCGGTCTTTTCATTGTCAACGATGTGATTGTTGTACTTAAACTGCATGAGCTTAGACCAATCCGACATTGTCGATGGCTCCATAATCCAAACACCTTCCACTTTGACGGCCCGACCTTTGATTCGATGGCTGAACTTCCCCCAAAGCTTGCGTAGGATGTCCCGGAAGGTGGATCCCTCAGCCAGAAAGTTGTTTAGCGTTTCACCAGAGGTTTCGCGCTGTCCACGTGAGTTCTTGACAATGGGTTTGACAGCCAGTTGGAACTGATCCGACTCCAATGGAGATGTTGTCACCCTTCGGGATCCTGACGGGCCTTGCGGTGTTGGCGTTCGTGAACGAGGGTGTAGAGTTGGTATCAATGCTTGAGGGGGTGTCCGAAGTCGCAACGGGTATGGCGAGACGCGAGTTGGTGTTCGAGCACGCAGTGGTGCACGTGAGGGACTTTCATCTGGATGCTGTGGAGAGGGCAAGTGGGGGCCGACAACACACACAGTAGAGCCCTCTGATGGGCTTTGCGTCCCACCTCAAGTGATGGCCGCCACCGCTTCTCCAGCATCATTTCCTTCGCTCATGTTGCCGGTCGAAGATTGCAAAGGGAAACCTATTGTGTAAGCTAAATTATGCTCTTGGATAGGCTTGCCTGGAGCGGCCGCGTTGGAAATTTGGAGTAGAACCCACAATACTGTAGACCCTGTCGGACGTTATGTCGACCACACCACATTAATTTTGCTTGAATTTTATTGGCTAAAACGTTTTCATTTCCTTTTCCTTAAACAAAAGAATCAGCCATGAGCAGCTACCCGACGGATCCTTCGCCCATGTTGCCGCAGTCGGCGCTGACGCAGGCCGCCGCCGCCGCTGCTGCTGCAATGCCCTTCGGCTTGGGCGGTGGTGATGCTCCAGACGCCAACGGATTTCCCGTACAGCAGCTTCCTCTGTCTCCGAACCTCATGCGCAATCTGGGTGATCGCTCGTACGACAAACGCAAAGGAGCTGCCATGGAGCTCGAGAACCTCATCAAACAGCTGCAGGAGAACGCCGCGTCAATCGAATTCCACCAGCATCACCAGCTGCAGCTCAATCAGGACTCGCCGAGCTCGCGACTCAACGCTTCCACCTCTGGCACGGAGAGTGAGAGTGTCGACGGTGTTAGCAACTCACACTTGACAGCCAGCAACCCCAGTCGCCAACGCATCCCGGCAATTATCGAGCTCTTAGGCAACGACTTTGCCTGCTCCTCCAATGCGAACCACCGGAAAGGCGGCCTCATTGGCCTAGCAGCTACTGCGATTGGGCTAATGCACGACGCGCACATGTATCTGGACAAACTACTGCCCCCAGTGTTGCATTGCTTCGACGACCCAGAGAGCCGTGTCCGCTACTACGCGTGCGAGAGTCTGTACAACATCGCGAAGGTGGCTAGAGGCCACATCCTGCAGTACTTTAACCAGATCTTTGACGGTCTGTGCAAACTGTTCGCAGATGTGGATGTGGACGTGAAGAACGGAGCCAATTTACTGGATCGACTGGTCAAAGACATTGTGACCGAGAGCGAGTACTTCGACGTGGACATGTTCATCCCGTTACTTCACAAGTACATCAGGATGACCAACCCATACATTCGCCAGCTCTTGGTGGGCTGGATCACCGTGTTGGACTCGGTCCCAGACATCGACATGTTGGATTGGCTACCAGAGTTTCTGGACGGTCTCTTCAACATGTTGAGTGACGGGAACAGGGAGATCCGCCAGGCGGCAGATAGTGCGCTGGCCGAGTTTCTGCGGGAGATCAAGCAGACAGAGGACGTCGAGTTCGGACGCATGGTGGACATCCTGGTGGGCCAATGCAACAGCAAGGAGAGATTCAATCGCCTCACTGCGGTGAGCTGGGTGCAGGAGTTCGTGAACTTGGGACGGGAGAAGCTCGTGGAGTTCTACGCCGACTTGTTGGCGGCGATTATGCACTGTATCTCCGACGCGGAGCATGAAATTCGACAGGTGGCGGAGCGAGCGAACGACGACTTGTTACAGCTAGTGAAATCCACGACAGAAGACGTGGAACTGCTGCCGTTGATGCAGAAACTCACTACGGAGCTGGGTAGCGACCACGTGCCTACCCGCATGGCAGCTTTGCGTTGGATCTCGATGCTGCTGGAGAAATACCCGAACCAGTTGTCTGCACATATCGGTCAGTTGCTACCAGCGTTGCTTCGAACTCTATCGGATATCTCCGACAGCGTCGTGCTGCTGGATTTGGAGGTTCTGGCTCGTATTTCGCTCAACAAAGTCGAGTTCGAGAAGGTGCTGAACGCCATCCTGCTGCTATTCGCACAAGACCGACGCTTACTCGAGATGCGCGGCAGTATGATCGTACGGAAGCTCTGCGTGCTCTTGGACGCCAAGAGCATTTACCTCATCTTTGCCAAGGTGTTGGGCACTGAAGCCGTGTATCTGGACAGCCAAGCAGACAGTGAGTTCGCTGCTGTGATGGTGCAGACACTGAACCTCATTCTACTGACAGCGAACGAGCTGGAACATCTGCGCGATATCTTACGTCGCAGCTTCCAGACTCGTGCTTCGGAGGACGATGTCGAGGTGTTCACGGCTCTGTTCCGTTCCTGGTGCCACAACCCCATCGCAGCCTTCAGCCTCTGCCTGCTGGCGCAGTCCTACTCGCTGTCTGCAGCGCTTATCAGTAGATTCGCAGATATCGACGCGTCTGTGGGCTTTCTCATGCAGATCGACAAGCTCGTGCAGCTGTTGGAATCGCCCATCTTCATTCACATGCGTCTACAGCTCTTAGAGATCCAGGAAGACTATCACACGGACCTCGTCAAAAGCCTCTATGGACTCTTGATGCTGCTGCCGCAAAGTGCTGCGTTTCGAGTGCTACGCGACCGACTCGCAAGTGTCACCAGCATGGCGACGGCGATTGGTCGAATCGATCTGAGTGGCGATTCCCGTCGACTGCGTACGATTGGAGACGCCCCAACCAGCACGTCAAGTAACGACGCGTCTCTGTCGGACGCTCCACGTATCGACGCAGATGCGCTACTCGCGCATTTCGAGAACGTCCAGGCGAAACACACGGAGCTGAGAAGGAAAGGTACGAGGGTACACCGAAGTTATTTATTCTGCGAGATAGATTACTGAAATGTATTATTGCTCGACAGGAATGTACGAGAAAGCGCTCGCCAAAGAACAGACCACGGCCAACGTGTGAAGAAGAAGAAGGATTAGTATAGGGCGTACACGAGAGAGCATTACGAATTTGTAGACATTCCCTTTTTTTAACGTTGTGATGTCTAAAAGTCAAGAGATCACTCGCTCTTGACTTGATCTTTGTCGATCTTGTTGCCTCGCCACAGCGCCAAGCGACCGGACGAGTTGCCGCCTGCAATGAGCTCAAGATGCGGGTGGAACGCGTTGATGGAATGCACCGACGCGAAGTTGTCGCTCTGGAGTTCGCGCACAGGACGACGGCGACCAGCACGGAAGATCTGGATCCTTCGAGGCTGCTCCATGCATCCCATGACGAACTGGTTTGGTCTCTTGGGGTCCCACGCCGCGTGGAGCTTCGTGAGCCATCGACCAGTTACATTGTTGTGACGAACGCGAGCGGAGTCAGGCAGAGAAGGCGCCGACGTGTCCGAGGGGTTACGCTGCGTAAGACTCGACGTGTCGAACATGTCGATGTACGAGTCCTGACCCACCGTCACGAGCCACGCACCATCTCGCGGAGAGAAATACGCGCAGTTAACACTGCGATGGTGCGGCAACGTCGCTAGCGGCGTGTTCTTCTTCGACGACAGATTACGCGCATCCCATAGACACACGGTACGGTCCAACGACGCCGTTGCGAGGCAGCTACACATAAACAAGGAAAGTTACTGAGTGGGTTAAACGCATACAAATCTCCAATACTCACGTACAAGTCGAGAGTCGGATGTTGGCTCACAGTGTTGATCTTCTTCGCGTGCACTTGGAAACTCGAGCTCTGCACTTTCCGCGCACGTCGATCAATGAGTCGAACGGTTCCGTCGTCGCAGCTTGCGTAGTAGCACTGAGCTGCGGCTGCAGCCACCAAACACGAGATGCCAGCGTCGTCGTTTGTATCGTAGACCACCGACGACTCGGCAGCTCGAAGGTCAAACTCTCGCACAGTCCCGTCAAAACTGCTCGACACTAATTTGGACGAGTCTGGGAAGATCAGTTGGGTCACAGGCGTGTAGTGCGGTCTGTACACAGCCAGTGGCGACGTCGAGCTCTCGTGTTTCATGCCTGGAGGCGTCCACAGCGCCACATGACCCATTTTATCTCCACAGGCGACGACGACTCGGTCGGCACGAGGCAAGAAGGCAACGGAGTAAATCCGTTCCTGTACAGCCTTGGTGATATCCTCATCTGCCAGTGTGTAGTCCACTCCATCGTCGTCTTCCAAGACGGTCTCTTCTTCTTCTTCTAATTCTTCTTCTTCCAGGTCCGCTGTGATGCCTCCAAGAAACGCTTTGCTCTCTCCATCTACTGCGTCCATCACACGGAGACTACTGCCTCTAGGAAGACGAGGAGCACGCATCTTGTCCATCTCGTATTGGTCAATATACTCAATAGCTTCCACTTCCACTTTCTTGCCTTCAAGGCGTCTCGATTTACGGACCGGTTGGGTCAACCGCTCCGCTCTTTTGGCAGCCTGTGCGGCTCTCTTGACGGCTAATTGTTGCCCTTTCGCCTCCTTTGCAGCATCGTGTCCGACCAGCGTCCTGGCCTGAATTTTGGCAGTCGAAACGCCCATTTGCTGCATGAAGGCTAAGTTGCGTTGGATGTTCTCGCGACGTTTGCGTTCGTACTCAGTGAGGCCTGCATTTAGAGCTTCTTCTTCTTCTTCTTCTTCTTCTTCTTCACTTTCGCTCTCGTTACGATGCTCAATTGTTGCATCTTTCTCTTTTCCTGAAGCTCTTCGTGTCACCTTGATAGAAGACGTCCGAACTGCTGGAGGAGTCCGACGTGACGAGCGACGCAGTGACGCGACGGGGGGAGGAGATAAAGGCGGGTTACGGTTTGAAGAACGGAGTGAACGGAGGCGCTGCGGTGGCGCAGAGGCCTCGGTTGGCGCACTAGACCGTGTGCGACGCATGAAGAATTGGAAATGTCTTGGGTTTATTGGCGCCACCGGTTATTTGAGTGCGTAAAATACGCGGGAAGAAAAATATGCATTTGGACAGGATTTGTTTGTTTGGGTTGAATTCTCTTCACTTTTCTTGCGTTTTTACTAAGTGCGGTATTGGTGTCGGTCATTGAGATCGACTAGGCGTATAGTTTGCTTTTGAAATGGTTTGCTGTTAGGCTATGTTACTGAACTGAGAAGCTATCGAGCACATTTTTCCTAAGCTCCGCAAGAGAGCATCCACACAGTATCATATTTTAAGTGCACACATGTATCGGCGATGAAATACTTAAATCGGTCGTACACTGGCGTCTAACGCGCTGAAATTACTTCGAGCTATCATTACGATACCCTTAAATGTGGCGCAAGAAGTAAGACCGTCCTCGCGTCTGGGCAGCAAGCAGCTGCTATTTATGTTTTACGCCTAACGAAGTAAGACCTCGAAAGTAGATAGCACGCTGCACTCCCTTTCTAGTCTCTCAATGTAGAATCATCACCACCGTGCCTACGCGAAACCCATTACGATGTCAAGATGATGTCTTCTCTATTGAGCCTCCTTTGGTAAATCTAAGCTACCAAGCTGCTGCAGCGCTTGGACCAACGCCAACCACTTAACTGTTTCCAAGCGCACCGCCTAGTACCTTCCAAGTCATTTACGATCAGCATTTCGAGTGCGACCGAGCCGGCAAGCCAGCGAACACAGGCAATTCACCTGACAGAGATCGAAGCGGATTGATGCTCAATGAAGATAAAGGTCATGGCAGCAAAGAAGAGCGTTCCTGAGTGTGAGTGGGCTACTGTTCATTTGAGACACGACATATCGCGAACACCCAGCTTTAAATGATGTTCGAGTATGCGCGGCCCACCGCCATCGAGCTGCAGCGGACATCAAGCATGACCCTGTACCAAACATGCAGGCATTTGTTAGAGCTCAGATAGCTGCAGGGATTCAGGCTGTGAATATGAGTGCCAGTATCTTGTCTTGTGATGCCGTGTCACATAGTAGCGCGAGGAAGCGTAGAAGCGGAGACGTGAGTACGGACGCCGGAGACAGCTGTAGGGGAGAAGAGGAGTTTCTACTCGAAGGCAAATTGAGAAGTGATTAATCAGTTAGAGTTGGCGGCAGCAAGCTAGTAGCTGCCGCACAACCAGTAGTTCTTGACAGCCGGATATTCACGCACGTATACAGGTCATATCCTAAAACCTATCTTTCTCGAAGCCTGTTTTTCCCTGTAACTACCAATGAAAGCCTACGAATCCTAAATCTGATCTTGGTCGGAAATTTTGCACAGCGTCCCATAATCACAATTTCCGGATGGAAGCTTGATTGTTGCAAATCCATGGTTTTTCAGACCAATATGATTGTAGTATGATGGAAAGACACGCAATCTTAAGGTTACGCCGGTCAGGATAATCTGGCCAGCTGAACTCAAATAATTGGCGTGGCTGGTCACTGCCATGCCATTGGCCAGTGACCACCACGTCACATGACCTCCCTTCGAAGACGAGCCTCTCCTAGAGAAAAGGGTTCTCTTTTTTCTTTGACTTCCAGTAGAGGTCGATGAGGCCGGGAATTTGCGCTAGATTCTCTACGGGCTCCCAAGTGGCTTCCTTCTTGGTTTCACCAAGCCACCAGATCTTGTACTGCGGGTTCCCCTTGTACGTGCGATGTCCAATGACGGCTTCAACGAGTTGTTCCTCGGAGCCATTGGCTAACACAACCTTATTCACCTTTTGCCTCCGCTTGTGGTCTTTGTGGTAGGGATTCAATAGTGACGTATGGAACACCGGATGCAGCTTCAATCCGTGCGAAAGGTCTAGCCCATATGAGTCTCGAGATATCTTCTTCAGAACCGGGAAAGGTCCAATAAATCTCGGAGCTAATTTCTTCGACTGTGCGTACTCATTATGGCGGATGTCCATATTCTTTCCGTCAAGTAACAGTGTCCAAGGCTTGGACAAGTCTGTTCCTGTCGTAATAATGTTTCATGTGCCTTTGAACTTCACTCATACGGTCCTGTGATACATTGAGGAAGACCTCTTGCCGGAGTAAGAACTCTTTTGCTGCTTTCTCCAGCTTGTTGAAATTCTGGATCTAACAAAACCTCATCGGGCATGTACGATATATGCCCAAGCTCCGCTTCAAACGGTGCCATTCCGATCGTCGAATGCACACGTCGATTGTAGGCAAGCTCTGCCATATGAAGAAACTCATCCTAATCGTTCTCGGCTGGGTTAACGACCCCACGAAGATAATCCCCGATAAAACGGTCCGTACGTTCCGTTTGTCCATCCGTCTGTGGTCTAAATGCCGATGACAGGTTATGCTGCGTTCCCATAGCAGATATAACAGCCTGCCAAAACTTGGACGTAAATTTGGAGTGTACATCAGACATAATCGTCCTTGCAAGGCCATGATCTTTAACATAGTTCTTCATGAAGACATTCGCGCTATCCTCTGCGCTATCTGTCGTCTGCGTTGCAATGAACTTTGCACGCTTGGTCAATCGATACACGATGACCATAAATGACATTATAACCATCCTGGTTGGGAGGTAAGAACACAATGAAATCCATCGAAATATCGATTCTCTACCTCTTGGTACTTCTAGCGGTTGAAGTAATCCCGGCGGTTTCACTTGTCTCGCTTTGTTGCGCTGACACATTTCACAAGTGCTGCAATAACGCTGGATATACTTCATCATCTTCGGCCAATAATACTTCTCTCGTACTGCGACGTAAGTCTTGTACGATCCAGAATGTCCCTTTACAGCATCGTGGTTCTCGCAAATGACACGGTTTGAGAGATCTTTGTCGACCGGAATATACAGTCGCGGACTTTCATCTTCATCGGTATGGTAGTATAAAACACCATCATCGAGCGAGTAATGCGGAACCTTGTCTCCAAGCTTAATCTTCTTGACAATTCTCTGCAAGACCTTGTTCCACGAATATATCTTCTTTGCGGACTGTGCTACGGTCACTTTGTTCGCTACCATGGTTGCCACAATCGCACGGGTTTGAGCCGTATCAAGAAGTTCCTGAAGGCTTACTTGCGCATTATTAGGCTCGAACCCAGGGTTTCCTGATAATGCGTGTGCGAATACATTCGTCTCTCCTAAGATTGACTTGAACATTGGTCGAAATTCCGCGAGTTCATTGAACCATTGCGCAATGCGTCTATTCGCTGTCTTCTGCGTAAGAATCATCTCGATGCTCTTATGATCGGTTTCGACTAGGAAGGGCTTGTCTAGCAGATATACACGCCATGCTTTCAGCGCATACATGATTGCGAGAAGTTCTTGCTCGCGTACTGGGTAGTTCAGCTCTGCAGGTTTCATCTTCCGGCCAGTAAGAGAATTGAATGTTCCAACTCTCTCTCCTTTTGAAACAAGACTCCCCCAATTGCGAAATTCGAGGCGTCCATTCGAATACCGAAAGGCTTGGTGACATCAGGAAGACCGAGAACCGGTGGTGATGACAAGTGTTTCTTTAACTCGTCAAAACACCGCAACTGGTCCTCATTGAGCTCGATCGCATCTCGAGAACGTATTCTCTTGATACATTCGTGCAAAGGCCCTACAAACTGAGCAAAATCCTTGCAAAATCGAGAGACGTAGGGTCAGTTGTCCCCAGAAATCTTTCCATTTGCTTCTTTGTCTTGGGGAACTGGCCATTCTGTGATAATCTTCATCGAGCTGCTTGTGTCGATCAGCCAACGACTTTGTGCTTTTTACAAACGGATCTTCGGGTTTACGAGTCTTTCGCTTACGCACACTGAAACTGATGCAGTAGCAACGGATGTAGATCAAGCACAACCAGTGAGTATCTAATCGGACGTTCACTCCGTAAAATTCTGATGCGGGACAAGGATCCACGTAAAACATGATAGCGTTAAGCCGCAGACCAACAGATAGAGTTTCCGATAGTGTGTGCCACAGTAGTGCGCAACCACACCAACTAGCCACTGAACGTAACCGTTCGTGCTGAGGCAACCCCCTTTGTGATCCAGTGCTTCCCCGACTATGTGGCTGACACCAATAACCTCACGACAATTCGCTTCTGGCGATGCCACCACGAGTGCCCTACTTGAACCGAAGCTTGACACGACCAGTGCTACTATGTCACGTAGTAGCGCGAGGAAGCGTAGAAGCGGAGACGGCGAGTACGGGCGCCGGAGACAGCTGTAGGGGAGAAGAGGAGTTTCTACTCGAAGGCAAATTGAGAAGTGATTAATCAGTTAGAGTTGGCGGCAGCAAGCTAGTAGCTGCCGCACAACCAGTAGTTCTTGACAGCCGGATATTCACGCACGTATACAGGTCATATCCTAAAACCTATCTTTCTCGAAGCCTGTTTTTCCCTGTAACTACCAATGAAAGCCTACGAATCCTAAATCTGATCTTGGTCGGAAATTTTGCACAGCGTCCCATAATCACAATTTCTGGATGGAAGCTTGATTGTTGCAAATCCATGGGATTTCAGATCAATATGATTGTAGTATGATGTAAAGACACGCAATCTTAAGGTTACGCCGATCAGGATAATGGCCAGCTGAACTCAAATAATTGGCGTGGCTGGTCACTGCCATGCCATTGGCCAGTGACCACCACGTCACATGCCGACGCTAGGGTCATTCCCAAATATCTGACTAATGCCTGACATTTAGCCCGTCAGGAGGCACGCTCGATACAAACTCCGATGAAAAGCTTTTTTTTTCGAGATAAGGCAGCTTGGCGGTTTTAGGCCTGCTGTTAGCACCGCAACGAATCGGCTCCGGTACCAGTTCTGGTCTCATCCGTCGCTTCGGAGTTTTACAGACAGCATCCTGATGTACTCGTCGTCGATTGCACTAACACCACGTTAAGGCACAACATTCTTCTCTTAAACACTGTTGCTTTGACTGGGTTATAATAAACACTGTTCTACTAGTGGCTCAGTGGTCAAACTTAAGGTGACTTTGTCTCAGCGTT